TTCTAAGCTGAATTTAGCATCTTCCAAAATAACATATTTTTCTTTGTTCAAGTCTCATCTTCGATATGGCCTTCCTTTTTGCGGTTCTAGTACAGCTACCCAATATAATGTTATTTTTAAATTACAAAAAAGAGCAACACGGTATCTTTTTGGCCTCAGTAAAATAATACATTTTAGAAGCTACATAAAAAATCACGGGATTTGAACTTTTCCCTCTTTGTATATTCTAGAAACTGTTTTCTTAATTGGTAAACACCTACATGTTTTTTCAGCAAGACCCAATCATGAATTGTCCACCAGAAATTCAACCTTTGATATGTATTTATCGATTTCGTCCACTGAGTTAGTAAATAAATCTATATTATATTCGGCAAAAAATTATACAATTAATTCCCTTTGCAACTTAAATCTACAACTTCTTTCCTTAAGTTCTGTAAATTAACAAAAGCCTATCTATCTGAAAGACCATATTATTTAGTGGAAGAGTTTCTTAACGAGAAATTAAGAAATTACAGTACGTTTAGGTACAAGCAACTAAAGTATTATATATTTGGGTATCAAATGCAGCAACTAAAACTTATTCGTAAACTACTTCCTTATTAGGTTTTATTATGCAATTTGCAATTTAGTTAGATTTTGCAATGAATTGTAAATTTTATTATCTTTTACTATATGACATTGACAAATTTTGTAATTTTAGTAAATTTTAATTGTTATTGTTATTTTTTTTACTTTTTGTAAGTTTTGTTCATAAAATTGTACAATTTTCAGTGACAATAAAGCATATTTCTATTTTAGAAACCTACCCCATCCATAAGGTTTAATGTGTTTATATATTGTTATATATGTGGTTTGTTGTTCATGTTTTGTTAAACAATAGTTTATGTTTTCTTACGTTTATTAATATTTTCTTAAATACATATTCCTGAACTTTTATCTTTCTTCTGCCTACTGCTATGTCTAACATGACTTCCAATGTTGCCAAATAACAATTAATCTGGAGTTATAAACCATAATTCACTACATTTTTTCAACATATCACTCACTGGATAAGGGAAGAATATACTCAATACCCTGAACAGGTTAATGTTTGGGGAAGAATTTTTTAAACTTTTTATTGCTTGTGTATTATTTTAGTTTAAATAAAATATTATATAAAGTACTTTGCGATTTTATTTACCCCATCTTTATTGTTTTGTGTAAATCAATTTTTATAAATATATTTATTTCTATACACTGAAAATTAAAATGATTCATCGTTCGTTGTTTCTCACTTATTCGAAATATTTTATATGTTTACGATACTAAAAATAAAAGCAATCAAACCAATAGTCATTATTTATTCAAATGAAAAAACTGTTTCAAATACCTTTCAATTATTGGAAGGTACGCCGATGACTTAAAAGGTAATGTCACAGTCTATCACCTCGCCTCTTTCCCCGCGCCTATAAACTTTTCGACTTCAAATTTAGGCGAACAGAGTGCAGGGCATGCCCAGTCCATCTTTATTTATACGTCCATGGTTTTTTCCATTGTTTGTGTATTTTAAGGACAGCGTCAAAAATTTTTCGTTCAAAAATTATTGCTCCATGGAGGACAGTTAATCTATAGAACTTTAAATATGAAACATAACATTCGAGATGGATTTTAAAAAAGAAGAATGTGACAGTTTACCAGAAAAATTAAAAATTCTTAAAAAAAAACAAAATGGCGGATATTTGAAAAAAAAAATTTTCAACCTTTTGCAAATAAAATCCAACAAGGTATATTATCGATCAACTAGATCTTGAGATTAAAGATTCTTCGAAAAAGTATGTTTTTAAAACTGGAGGACAGTTAATCTCTGGATCTAGTTGGTCGATTCTAATATAATTTAATAACTTCGCTTTGTTGCACAGGATGAATAGAACACAATTCCACAAGGAAGTGTTCAAAATTTACTAGCGAGCATGCCGAGAAGGATGCAAGCAGTAATAAGAGCTAAGTAAACGGGAATACTCGTTACTGATCATGCATCTGTTTCAGTTAAAAAGACTTGCAATTAAAATTAGCATTTAAGTTTAGAGTACAATAGCATTTTATTCTAAACTAAATAAAAACTAATAAAATTGTTCATCAAGTATTGTTAAAATAACTCTTCTTCACAATAAACGATTTGATTGACCAGAATTTATTTTCAAAAAAAAATTTGAATTCTAAAATATTCCCTATTTTTGTCCGTGAATAGATAAGATAAATATAAACGTTGTTAAATGTTGTTGTTGTTGTTGTTAAATGTTTGATTGCCATATATAATAGAAAAGACACAAAAAAATTGTTGAAAATGTATCATTTTTTAGCATTCTAGACGATAATAGTACCTTAAGAAAGAAATCATAAATTGGAAGATCAATTCAACAGGTGAAATAAAGTTTATTGAACAATCTGCTAAGTATGTATATATGGATGTATATGTATATATATATATATATATATATATATATATATATATATATATATATATATTGTTATGATTGTTTATTTTGACTTTAATCTTAGTTTATTGAGCCAATAAAAAAATATAACTTATTTGTTATCAAAAGTAAAATAAACTCTTTATGTGTTGATGGATTCAAAGATTTTCTAGTTTTCTTTTATCGGGATAGAGAAGAAAGATAATAATAAAAAAATATATTATATTACAAAAATTTACGTTTCTTTATTTTATATGAACGAATAAAACAATTATCAAATTCTGCCGTTATCTAATCAATCAGCATACAAGAAAATAAATCAAATTTTTATAATAATAAGATTTTAAATCTACATAAATTTATATTAAGTGAAAACCAATTTTACTTAAATTTTGATTTACTTGAAACAAGAAACAACAAAACTTTAAACTTTTGATTAGCCTAACAAAACCTCAGTTCTTAAATTTGAATGCTAATGACCATGATGTCAAACAGCTCCAAAGGACCTCTTTTAATCTATTTGCTATCTCCTTCTGCAAAACTATTCAATTCTTTTCATAATGCCGTTATCCAACTCACGCACCACACACTATCTTGAGACAAACGACTGTTTCCTTCAATGACAAAATTATAACTGACTTCTCCCGTTCTCTTGATCAGCTCACAAATTCCCATTTAAAAATGACCGTCCAATCAAAAGCCAAAATTGTGATAATCAGATTAAAAATCCAAGAAAGAAAAGTAAAAGTAAAACAGTTAAAATCCACACTTGGCAAAAATGTGTGTACATTTGGCTTAGAAGAAATAGAAACTATTAAGTATTCACGATAACATTTAACAACAAATGAAAGGGAAGATCTGATATGGAAAGGAATATTGGAATAGGAAATACTACTTTTTATACAATAGTTTTCTTAAAAATATATACATACTCGTAGTTCAATACCAATTTTATCTAATGCATTCAATTTTGGACATATGAATACTCCAGTTGTCAGAGACGAAAATACCACTGAACCCCTAAAAATCATATGAACAAGCTGAATTGTGCTGAAAATGTCAATTTAGGACGCTAAAAAATATGCAAAAAAGTTTACCAATTTTGCCCCCGGACTTTCGCCTAAAAACCAGACGTAAATGGGCGAAAACGGAAAAAAAATCGATTAACAAGAATCTGTATGCCAAAAAAAAATATTGCCAAAGAAAATTTTGAACAAAAGCTTTTATTAGCATTTTTTGCATATAATGAGCCGTTCTCTCAGAAACAAAAATTGAATCAAAGCTCATTAAAATTTGTATCAGCTGGACGATAAAAATTCAATATCTTTTGATCCTAGTGTACTATCAACAAAAATCAAGATGCATTTTAAAGGTAAAAAGTGCAGCTTTTGGATGCAGCTTTTGGATACAATTTTTGTATTTTGCGGCAAATGAATTGAGTTTTTATAGAGGTGTTAAATAAATAAACTTGGCGCGATTTTTCCATTTTTTATGATACCCATGAGATTAATAAAATGTACCCCTTTTTTAGGCATATTTTAAATGCCTCATATTGGTTTCCAAAAATAAAAAAATCGAATTTTCATGTTATAAATTTTGAAAACTGTTTACTGCGACCGGACAATGAAAGTAATAAATTGTATATTGTATTGATCTCACGAGAATCGTAACAAATAGCAAAAATCGCCCAAAGTTTATTAATTCAACAGCTTTATAGAAACTGACTATATTTACGGCAAAATACAAAACTTGCGTACGAAAGTTATACTCTTCACCTTTAAAACACATTTTTATTTTTGTCGATAAGACAGTCTGATCAAAAGATAATCGACTTTTTACCGTCGAGTTGATACAAATTTTATTTCGCGCGCGGAACTAACATTCAAAATCGCCGGTCGCTTCAAGCGTTATTTCTGAGAGAACGGTTCGTTCTACGCAAAAAGTGCTAATAAACATTTTTGTTCAAAATTATCTTTGCTACATTTTTTTATTTGGAACATTTTTTTCTACAGCGAACCGATTCTTGGTAAATCGATTTTTAGGCGTTTTTACCACCATACGATGGCGTTTTTAGAGGGAAGGAATGACGTTAAAGTGGTAAACTTTTCTGCATCTTGTTAGGGGTCCCAAAATTTATATCCTCGGCAAAATTCACCTTGTTCCTATGATTTTTGGGGCCAAAACTCTGACGACTGAACTATATATTGTAATTATAATAGTAGTCTATGTTATTTGGCTTCGAATACAAATATTTGAATTCATGGTAGGATTTCAAATTATCAAACCAAAAAGAAAACCTTGACTATATACAAGGTTATGTTTATACACAATGTTTATTTTGATTTGAGGAAAAGATAACAAATTAGATTTCTACTTTTTGTATAGGACGTGTAATTGAGGATAACATGGACGTGTATAAGCATAATCATAAAATTGTCATAATTTTCAAAAAAATGACACATGTCATACATGCTTAAAAAATAAAATTGGTATATCATTTATTTCTTGCAATGTCAACTAGATATAATGTGTAAATTAGGTGCCTACCTGATCCTAAGTTATTAAACGAATACAAATTCACAAAAACCATATTCACTTTAGCTATTCAAAACATTATCACTTGGGGTTTCATTCACAAAACACCTGTCTTGTAAACCATGCAACCTACACCATTGACCACACCACGTTTACTCAAATGAAGACGAAGACCGACGAGAACGAGAATTTTTAAAATCCCATAAGAGAACGTAAACTACGGTACTAGTTACTGAGGACGAGGACTAAAATAGATGCATAACCTGCAAAGTAGTCTATGTACTCTCTGCATTCTTAAATATATAAACAGCAGTCAAACGAAAACTTTCCTTGAACTGTATCATTCGCAAAAAAAATAACGAACTGGGCTGCTGTAATTTACGGGTAAGCTTCACGACAAGCGAACTAAGAACTGACACAGAATTATATTGGATTTCACTCGAAGATGGAGCCACAGAGTAGAGAGTCAAGTTAAAGAAATACTGTAAAATTTTTTACTGCATTACAATAATAAAATGTAGATGCTGATATAATTGAGAATATTGAAAAATATTATAGAACAAAATATGTAATGACAATCCAATTATTAAAAAAAGAAATTCGAAATTTTATAATCCTATTATTAGAAAAATAAACTTTTGAATTAAAAATATTTCTACTAAAAATTCTGAAATCAATAACCACAGAATACTCCATCCCAGTATTCTGTGCAATAACTAACAAAAATACATTAAACAATAACAATACTCCCATCAATAAGCATAATAACTTCATATTTAAGTTAATTATAATGTTGGGATTAAGCTAAAATTGATTGTAATAAAAATTACAGTTTTAATTAACTAATATTTGCGTTTCGTTCCACTCTTGAAATCGTTTTTGAAAAGAGTTTATTAAAATATCAATTTTTCAAAATTAATATTTGACTTATTTGGCCTCGATTTCATATGTAATAGCATACCTATGGTTGAAAAAATCAAGTGTGGTGTTTTAACTCTCGGAATATAAAATTCTAACTGTTTTTTGTATTATATGTATGTGTAATGTGTATTTACGTAGATTATATGTTTGTGTATTATGTGTGGCATATAATATATTGTATATAAATTGTACATATGACCATACAAATTTTTTTCATTAAGTAGGATAAGAGCTACGTCTTTAAATTATCTCTTTTTCATGCCCTTCTTTCATGATTATTGATGCATCTTGTCATTGTAATTTTGTGTTCGTTATCCCAGGCTTGTTTGTATATCTGAGATTTGTAGAAGTCTCTGTTTTTAATGTATGTTTCATGCTCTTTTATCCTGACACTTAGTGGTCTTGCCGTTTCTCCTACATAGAAATTGTTCCATTCACAGGGTACTTTATAAATGCAGTTCTTTGATCTTCCTTGTGTGTTATTGGGTTTAGTTTTGGAGTTTTTAGTTTTAGTTGTTTTAAATGTTGTGATGAGCTTATTTCCTATCCCTTACAATTTTTCTAATAAGCCCTTAAGATATGGTGTTGTTTTATTTTCATTGAATAAATTTATGATGGACATTAACAATAAAGAAGAATCATTCAAATTTAGCATGGAAAAAAACAACAACTCACTCCCTTTTCTGGATGTGTAAATCTTAAAATAAGACACTGGATTTGCAACCAAAGTTTACAGAAATTCAACCCACACAAACAATTATTGAAAATGCATTTCAGAAAGAAAAAACCTGCTAACAAAGGTTAGGAAAGGATAGAAAATATATACAACATCACAATAATCTTCAAAACAACCAACACACAGAGATCTATTCCGTTTAAAAAAAACCCAACAATATGTCTCAACGGTTATGTCTCTTAATTAAGAACATAAACAGACCCAGATGTCTTTTCTTATGTCATGAAATTTCTTCTATTGAAATTCACTCCTTTTCTGACGCAAGTTTGAAATCATACGCTGCTTGTTGTTATATATGGGTCATCTACAAACCAAAAAATGTCTCATGTTCTCATATTACTTCGAAAAGCCGTATTGCACCTTTAAAGACCATAACCCAAACAGCACAAGTACGTCCCATGGACGTCCAAAGGATGTACCTCATTAAATGTCCGGACATCCCACGGACATCCGTTTACATAATTTGGACGTCCCCGGGACGTCCAATAAGAACTAAATGTTACCAAAAAGTACGTCCCCTGGACGTCCCAGGGATGTTCATGGGGACGTACATAGTACATATACAGAACTTAATACGGACTTATATAGGACCTAAGAAGGATGTATTGGGGACATCTATTGTACGTCCACATGGACTAATATAGGACCTAAATGAGGATGTATACAGGACCTAAAGGGAACTTAAAATTAATAAAATGAAAAGCAAAAATAAATGGGATTTTTATTGTGTACTTATATTAACATATGTATTTAAATTTATAGTATTTTTTAAGCACATTACTCCTATACTTACTTTACAAATGTAGCAACACACCACAACCACAAAAATTACCTATAAAAGTCCTATATACCTACTGAATGTCTATAATAATAAATTACCAAACTATAAACTAGTATCGAAAGCAATAAACTAATTCTAATTACAACCACAACCACAATGATTATAATTCGAGAAATAAACGAGATAAATAGAAGCGTCGTTAAAACATAACCACATTCTTCTTTTATCTCCTAATTTTTAAATTTCAGTTCCACTACAGAACAAAATTTTAGAGATACAGCTCTGCTATAGGATAAAGATTTTTCTCTAAAAGGAGCCTCTGTCTGTTTTCGTATAAATTAATGGTATTTAAAACTAAATATAACTTTTTAAAATAAAGTTTAGTAGGAAGATTATATTTTGTTAAAAATATGCTTAAGTAAAAAAATGACACAGTTAACGTCCCTAATACATCCCTAATGGGACGTCCCTTGGACGACCTTATGGAACGTCTCTGGTATGTCCGACTAGAAATATCCCTTGGACGTCCCTCGGACGTCCAAAAGAAGTCCCGGGACGTTTGGACCTTAAAACGACATAAAACGGACGTCCCAGGGATGTCCTGTGCTGTCTGGGAACGCTTCCAAGGCTGAAACTTATGGGTGCTTTATTGGCTAGCAAGCTCACCACAAAGGTGGTTGATATCATAAAGGATAAATTGCCCTCTCTTACCTCTATAAACATGTGGAGCGATTCTGAGATAGTTTTGGCATGGCTCAGATAACATCACTCCAGATGGAATGAATTTCTCGCCAACAGGGTAGCCCTAATTTAAGAAAATTCTTCTTACTCTCATTGGAGAAACGTAAAGTCTAAAGACAACCCTGCTGACATCCTCTCCAGTGAAATCATGCCCACATACTCAACTCCACTTTGTGGTTACACGATCCTCAGTTTTTGTAAAAATTTGACCTAAATTTGTCTGAATATAGTCCGAACTTTTTTGTTATTCAATTTATACAGTGAAGCCATCTCAGAAAATAAGATATGCTGACGACACCGTCCTTCTGGCAGGAACACTAGAAGAACTGCAACACCTTGCTGAACAACTAAATATATATTGTAAGGATTATGGACTAAAAATTAATTTGAAGAAAACCAAGTTCATGGTATTTACAAAAGCACAAAACATCAAAGTTAAGCTAGTACTAGATAATACAGAAATTGAACAAATATCTTGGTACAAATAGCTTGGAGCATGGATCACAGAAGATACTGATCAGACAAAAGAAATAAGATGCCGCATTGAAATTGCACGGTCAACTTTTAATAGAATGAGAAATCTTTTTTGTAATCGCGATATCAATATGTCGGTCCGGATAAGAATGCTTCGATGTTATATTTTCTCTACCCTTTTGTATGGGATTGAAGCTTGGACACTTAAAAAATCCAACAATAAAAACCTAGAAGCATTTGAAATGTGGTGTTACCGACGTATTTTGAAAATATCATGGATGGATCGCAAAACAAACGAACAAGTTCTCGAACAACTAGGCAAACAATGCGAAGTTTTAAATTTCATAAAAATCAGGAAATTGGAATACTTGGGGCACATCATGAGAGGGGAACAATACGAGCTACTAAGAAATATAATGCAGGGTAAAATCAAAGGCAGAAGAAGCGTAGGAAGACGTAAAATCTCGTGGCTACGCAATCTCCGCGAATGGTTTGGATGCAGTTCAATTGAACTATTCAGGCGCGTAACCAACAAAATTATAATTGATAGAATGATTTCCAATCTCCGATAGGAGTGGAACTTGAAGAAGAAGTTCGAAATTTAATTCTGATAAATTCACCCCTAAATAAACACACCCCTTTCCAATCCCGGATACTCCTGCTTGAAATGGACCAATCCCACATTCAAGCACTTCTCTTTTGGCATACACGAGACTTCAAGCCTTCTCATAAGGAAACGCTTTGAAGAAATCATAGCCAGGAACCAATTCCAAAAAGTTTTGTATATAGATGCTTCCAAAAAGGAAACATTCAGATCATGATGAATAACGTCGTTTGACACATACCATGAGGCATTGCAGACATCACGAAGAAATTTGGATTGAAATCTTTATAGCCTTTACAAATTTGTATTACTATTACAGTTGCAGTCGTTTGGACTATATAGGTTTTCTCCAATTTAGGCCATCATGATGATCTATGTGGATACCCAGATATTTGACTTCTTTCCTAGCAGGTAATAATTTCGGTTTATATACTTGAAGACATGTAATGAGAGGTCCCAAATATAGATTGCTACAAAATATCATGCAAGGAAAAATAGCAGGCAAACGCAGTCCAGGACGAAGAAGAACCTCATGGTTGAAGAACTTGTGAAATTGGTATGGTGTAGATACAAGCATGCTATTTAGGGTGGCAGTGAATAAAATTAAAATAGCTATGATGGTAACCAACGTTCTGTAAGGACATGGTACATGAAGAAGAAGATACCTGAAGACAGTTACTTTTTTTTAATATGAAGGTGATGTGAGTCCATTTATAATATTAATAACATAATTATATACCCGGTTCGCTATTTCCAGTCCGAACTGTCTAGTGATTTTAGTAATTATTTTTTTGCAAAGTTAGTTATTTTTGACAGACTAAAAGTGGCTGGAAATTACTATACAACCAAGCACGCGTACTTATAGCCAATATTCTTAGTAAAAAAACTAAATAGTAAATAAGAT